GAAAATGAAAACGAGAACTGACCATCTTGGAACTGAAACTGAGAACCCTAAACTGGTCCAAGGAGAAGGACAGAGAGACAGTTCAAGAGAGAAGCTAAAAGTTGATCCCTTTCTTTCTTTAAAACTCTCCCTTCAGAACTAGAGACGATTTGGAAGGAATAATTTCAGCCTTTCAGGTGGGTTTTGCAGAACACGCCCTGAGCAGATTGTCTTTGATGATTTTTATTTATTTAGTTTATGTTAAGCGGCGTCGTTGTGCTATGAAAGATATCCGGAAAAACCCCAGTGTAGAAGTTCGTTCCTTTCTCTCTGCAAAGGTTTAATACCCAATTTGGTCCCTAAACTTTCTATTTGAAACTTAGTTCGTCCTTTAACATCAGAAAGCACACAAATCATCCTTAAACTTTATTTTTCTGGAACCCAAACAGTCCTTCCGTCACGGAACTACACACATGGCACGTTAAGTCTCCTCCAATTACCTTTTTCTTAATTTTTACAGGCTTATGTGGACAATAACCCTCACCCAATTGATGACAATTTTTTTCCATCCAATTTTTTTTCCTTCCAAAATCCCTAATAAATCCAGGAATCTGATTCATTCGTTTTTCTCTCAGATCTCAGATCTAAGTTCCAAGATTCAGAGGAACAGAAGGAGTGTTAATTAGTAGCACCTAGTTTAGATTCAGATCGATCTACGAATTAATGGCGACTCTGCAAAAATTCAAGCTACTAGGCACGCAGTGCACGATAGCAGGAAGTCCGGGGAGGAGCCCGAGTGCAAGTCCTGTCATCCACATCCACCGACATAAAACTCTCCACATGCTTCTCAACCGTTCGTCTGGTTCAGAGCGCCACCGATTCGGCCATTGCGATGACCGGGAGAAGGTTGCGGATCAGTCTCCAAAAAAAACCGCTGCTACTGAAACCAGTAACAAGAAGGGCGGCAGTAAGAGAGAAGGAAAGGGGAGAAGGAAATTGAAGGAGCTTTTTGTGTCTTCGCCGCCTTTTGAAGAGATGGAGAGTAAAGAGTGGAGTGGATGATAGTGAAGGGTTGTTACCAGCTCCGAGGAGCGCAAGTGACGGTCTGGCGGCACGCCACGGCAGTTCTCTGAGGCAGATAACAAGGGCATTTCGGTATAGATTACTAAGGAGAGCTTGGCAACCTGTGCTCATCACAATCCCTGAGTAAATTAATTAAAAATAATAACAATAATCTGTGAAAAATTGTAGGTTTGATTCTAATTTTTGTAGCTCATTTGTGTAATTTTCAATTTTGTTTTTTATTCGACCTTCCTTCTAGCTTTTCTTTTAATTTTATGTAGTATTTCTTTTAATTGTAGGTCAATCCTCCCACCAGTTTCAAACGCCAAGTCACTGATAATCTTCAGAGGTAGATGGTTTTTTGAGTCTTTCAGATAGTGCCTTTTTCTTTTTCCTGTTTGTTTTCCAGGAAGAAAAGAAGAATAAGAGAGAGAAATTTTGGATCTTGTGTTTCTGGATTTTTCAAGATGAATGAAAATGGAAAATCTTAGGATATTTATGTTGGTTTTATTAATTTTAGAGGTTTTTGTTATGTTTGTCTTCAATTAGTTCCTCCATATTCCTTTTAAGGATATTATTTGCACTAAATTTTTAATATTTCTGGTCGGTAGGTGGGTCATTGAAGTAAACGGAGCCCCTGGAACTCTATATGCAAATGAAACTTACCAGCTTCAGGTTGATTTCCCCGAGAATTACCCGATGGAATCTCCCCAGGTTGGAAGAAACCTAGAAGTGAGAGTAAATCTACAAGGGGGCTGTTCTGCATCAACAAAAAGAGACAATATTGCCATGTCATCAATTGGGTGAGGTGTATTATCCACGTAAGCTTGTAAAAATTAAAAAGGTAATTGGAGGAGACTTAACGTGCCATGTGTGTAGTTCCGTGACGGAAGGACCGTTTGGGTTCCAGAAAAATAAAGTTTAAGGATGATTTGGGTGCTTTCTGATGTTAAAGGACGAACTAAGTTTCAAATAGAAAGTTTAGGGACCAAATTGGGTATTAAACCCTCTGCAAAATCCAAAACCCTAGCTTCAAGTTTCAGCTTCGATTTGAGTATCTGCGTCTCATAGG